TGTCTGAGGTGGCAGGGGAGGGGTGGCTCAGAGCAGTGGACAAGAACATGGTGTGACAGGACCCTCTAACCCTGAAGCTCCTGGGGGGCTGGTGAAAGGAGGCTGTTCCCCACTTTTGCCTGGCTACTGAGAACATAAAGCTGTCCATTAAACAAGGGCAGGCTTGTGGTGCAGTTGACAAGTAGTTGGGGTGCACTATATCCCAGCATCCCCTAGGGCCCTAGAGATGAGCAAGGGGACAGTCCCAGGCCCATGGAACTGAAGTAGGGCCATGTCAGAGGACAAGGCCGTATGGGGGATGGAGAGATATGAAATTGATGGGGCCTGAAAAGTTCCTGCACTCCAATAAGCCTGCTGACGCAGCAATCCAAATCAGACCAAATCAAACCGAATTAGATGGACACAGCACTCCTGATAGCTTTCCAGCCCCCCAGAGAGGAGATAGGAAAGAGACTGGAAAACCACACATCTGTTTTGGGGGGGGCAGTTTAAATACCCTGTGGGAGTGGTCTTGAGCAGCTCTGGGGGAGGAGTCATCATTTGGCAGGCTTTCTGGCAGGCAGCAGGGTTTGGAGAGAGATAGGGGAGGTGAAGCTTCCACCAGAACATCCCAGACTCTTTGGGTCTATGGATGCCAGGCACTGGAGTGAAGCTTCCACTGTAACAGGGAACAGGACAGACAGCAAGCCAGGGGAATCAAGGAAAAAATACTCCCTCTGTATCACTGAGGATTGACCCTCCTGCCCTTTCTGGCTAAATCCTGGGCTTCTTCAATGGGATCTCCTCCACCAGCTCTCTGCTTTGGCACAGAATGCTTGCCTGACTCCTGGATACTTCTACATGGCTACCAAGGCCCACAGAGCCTGTGAACTTAGGCAGAGGTGTCTGGCCTCGGTCAAATTTGAGTCTGCCTCAGCCTGTGTCCCTGCACTTCTGGCTTGGCATGGCTGACCTCCCAAGGGGGAAAATTGCATCTGTGCCCTGACTGGGCTTAACAGGACTGACATGGAATGCAGTCCAAGAAAGTCAGACTGTGGGCTGGTGTGATGGCTCAGGGGGTAAAGGCGCTTGCTGCCAAGCCTGCAGGGCTGAATTTGATCCCCAAGATACACATGGTGGAAGGAGAGAAGCGACTTCTGCAAGTTGTCTTCTGCCTGCAGACACACACCATGGCATGCACACCTGCACTCACGGACATGCGCACACCCAGTCCACCGAGGAAAAGAAACAGAGAAAGAAAGAAAACCAGACTACAGATCTTTTGAGACAGTGACCCGATGATGTCATCACAGCCAGGCCCCCGCCTTCCTCCATCAAGGAACTGAATGCTGGGATTTGTGTACCTTTCACTTCTTGGGGTTCCCTCTCCATCCTGTGGGCTGTTAAGTGGGAATTGAAAAAGGAGAGGGTGGAGTAGGGAAGATGAGTCAGGCCCCTGCTGGCCTCTGGCCCGCCATCCTGCCCAGGACAAGAGGGAGCACACCCTCGTGGCCACCTGTCCCTCAACTCTCCCTTCATACCTTGCTCTAGAACTTCCCATTGTTTTGTATCTGTGTGTGTACCCCAGGGAAACAATGAGTGGTCCACTGTGACAGTCTCTTTAGGCTTGGTCCAGCGCTCAGCTTCCTGGCTGGTGACCCCTGGGGG